TGGGGGCAGTGTGTGTGTATGGGGGGCAATGTGTGTGTATGGGGGCAATGTGTGTGTGTACACCCCCCCCCCAGCCTACCTGTCACTGGGGATCAGGCAGCCATCTTCTGAAGCAGCATGGGCTGCTGCATTACGGCGGGGGGTGGGGCTTATCGGCGGGAGACGGGGCTTCGTTTGGGGGCGGAGCCTTGCCGGGGAGCCAATCAGTGCTCCCTCCGGCCACAGACAGTTACAGTCTGAGGGAAGCCCATGGCCAGCAAGTTGCTGGCATTTGGGGGGGCCCAAGGGGGGGCACAGCATGATGTAGGGGGGGCCATGGCCCCCTCTGGCCCCCCCTAGCGACGCCACTGATCGGAATTCCTTAGGAACCCATATCAGGAACTGGGGGAGGTCTGGACCCATTAAAGAGGATTCCAGGTCCACCCATCTCCTCTCTTCAGGGGGTGAATGCCATAGCGCTATTTGGGCTAACTGGGCAGCTACATAGTAATAGTACAGGTTCGGCAGTCCCAGTCCCCCCCTATTCTTAGCCCTATACAGCACATTTCGCGAGACCCTATGTTTCTTGTTCTGCCAAATAAACTTTCCTATCGCCTGCTGTAGCGCTCCTAAACTAGACTTAGTCAGGTATATCGGGAGTGGTTGGAATAGGAACAATATCCGGGGCAATATGTTCATTTTTACTGGGTGTATTCTCCCTATCCACGAGATTGGTTTGTCTACCCACGTCTCCATATCCCGTATTAATGTCCTGATAAGAGGTGAGTAATTTTGTTGGTGTAAAAGAGAAGGGTCCGCCGTTAAGCATATTCCCAAATATTTTATATAATCTTTTGCGATATGTATCTGATATGTCTTCCCTATGTGCGCCGCGTCCGCATCACTCAGCCCAATGGGGAGCGCACTCGATTTATGTAGGTTAACTCTGTATCCGGCCACCATGCCGTAATCAATCAATATCCTTGTCAAAGCAACCATGGACTCTAGCGGAGCAGTCAGTGAGAACAGGATGTCGTCCGCGAATCCCGATATAACGTATTCCTGCCCCCCTACTGTGATTCCCTTGATCTCCGGAGTTGTCCTTATCTTGTGCATGAGGGGTTCTAAGGATAATACGAATAGTAGCGGGCAGCCCTGCCTTGTGCCATTGCTCAGTGGGAAAGGGATGGATTGCGCTCCCGTTATCCTCACCTGCGCCCTGACGTTGGTGTACAGAGCTTGAATAGTTGTGATAAACCAGGCCGGCATGCCAAAGTGGCGCAGCATCTCAAACAGGTATGGCTATTTGACTCTGTCAAACGCTTTTTCGGCGTCTAAGGACAGCATCAGTGTCGGGGTTCGTAGCCTAGTTTGTCTGCCTATGAGATCAATGTTGCGTCTCGTATTTTCGAACAGTTGCCTACCTGGCACGAAGCCTACCTGGTCCGGGTGAACTAGGCGAGTGAGGAGTGGGTTTAATCTAATCGCCAGTACCTTGGCTAGAATTTTAGCATCAATGAGATCGGTCTAAAATTCTCCGGTATTGAGTCATCCTTACCCGGCTTCGGTAATAAGACTATGTTCGCAAGCGACATTTCTGGATCCGGGGTCCCCCCCTCCTGTAGGTCGTTGAACCATGCTTCAAGATGGGGTAATAGCTCTTCCCTGAAAATCTTATAATAGCTTCCATCTAAGCCGTCCGGGCCAGGCGCCTTGTTGCTTTTTAAGGCCAAGATTGCTGCGCCAATTTCCTCTGCCGTGATCTGGGTTTCAAGTTGCGCCACAGCTGCCTCGCTCAGCTTTGGAAGAGGGACTCCAGAGAGGAACTCCTGTATTCCCTCTATCTCCCTTTGTGGGTGCGAATCCACCCCCTGCGAATGGTTATACAATGCGGAGTAGTACCCCGTAAACACTTTGGCAATTTCCGTAGGATTCGTTTGGTAGATTCCTGCCGCATTCTTAATCTTTGTAATGTGCGTATTCCACTGTCGCGGTCTTAGTGCCCTTGCCAGTAAAGTATCCATTTTATTGGCCTTTTCGTAATAGGTCCGTCTAGACCAAACTATAGCTCTCGTAGTGTCATCAAGGAGTGTTACTCGTATGGCATATCTGGCATCCTGTACCTTCTGCAAATTAACTTGTGAGGGGTCTGATTTGTGCCGTTGTTCCGCCAATCTCAAAGCATCTAGTTGAGATGCCACTAATTGAGCTTTCCTCCTTTTCCTGAGCGTCGCTTCTCTAATCAACACCCCTCGAATGACGGACTTGTGAGCCGCCCATATTACAGCTTTAGACACCCCCGATGCAGCTTCCCTAAGGAAGTACTCCTTCAGTTCTCTGCGGACGGTCTCGGCTATTCCCGTGTCTTGCAGCATGAGTCGTTCAGCCGCCATGACCATGGGGTCGCTGCGCTTAACTTGTCCAGGGTGACAGAGACATCCGCATGATCCGACCAAGTTATGGATCCCACAGATGACTCCGAGGCCCTAGAGACAACCTGGGAGTTTACTAGAAAGAAGTCAATTCTAGAGTATGTGTCGTGTGGCTGTGAGTAAAAGGTGTAATCCTTCTCATCGGGGTGTTGAGCCCTCCAAATATCTGTAAGCCCAGTTTGTTGCATAAATGTGTGCAATAGTTTATCTTGTCCGCCCTTTCTGTGGGACCGAGGAATTCCCCTACAGGGTCCCCTGTCCACCGCCGGGGACGGAGCCGCATTGAAATCGCCCCCTACTATTACCATTCCCGTCGTGAGTGTGTTGACAGTGCGAGTAAGTTCCTCCCAAAACTCCCTAGACGGATCGTTGGGGGCATATAAATTGAGGATATGGATCGCGTGGGAATACAAGAATCCCAACACCAATACAAAGCGGCAGCCTGGGTCGATCCTAACGTCACTAATTCTAATCGGGCACCTCCGATGTATCAGGATGGCTACGCCATTCCGTTTGTTAAGAGCTCTCGCTTCATATGTGGTGTTGTATGTGTAATCTTTGTGAGCGAAATTGGCCGATTTAGGTAGATGTGTCTCCTGTAGGAAGGCTATATCTGGGTTCAGACGCTTCACCTCCCTAAACATGAGCCGTCTTTTCTTAGGTGCGTTCAAACCCTTAACATTTAGAGATATTAACCTAATGGGCATGGGTAAATCCGTGGTATGTCGCCACAACTAAACATACAGGCACCTTGTATACTAGAATGAGCCCCTGGGCCTCCCCCATCGGTTCCCCCGGGGAGTGTAGAGTAGGAGAAAGAAAAGATAGGGTAAGAGAAAGGTAGAAAAGAAAGTAAGAAGAAATAAACTATGTACATACTTCGCCTGGGCTTACCTGTAGCCAGGCACGATTGGGGTATATGTCCCGCCGCCTCCAGTGCTTCAAAGAAACCTGGGGTGTACGGGGCATGGACCAGCCAATGTGGGCACTGTGTCAGTGCCCACGGATACATAAAAAATAAACACCACCACCTGTGTGGCTTGGAACGAATATATTAAAAACATCAGAGTAAAAAACAGTAGAGCCGCCCCAATGGGCGCAGTTATCCATCCACGATACTCGCCTATATTTAATCGCACATTATTTCTTATATGGGATATAGGCCTCTCCCCCCTTTCTTTATTTATTTATCATTTTTCCTTTTTCCTTGCTTTTTTTTTTTTTTTAAGTTTTAAAACATTATGTCCTTCTCTTTGTTTGTCACTCCACCCCCTCTCCTCTCCCTTAATCTATCCCTTCTCCCTCTTTTCCGGTTCTCTCCTTTCCCTTTTTTTTTTCTCCTTCTCCTCTGTTTTCTTTTCCTTCCTATCCCCCCCCTCTTTCTCCCTCCCCTCTCCCTGCACCCCTTCACTGGGGGGCAGGGCCGGACTGGGAGAAAAATTCGGCCCGGGCATTTTTTTAACACAGCGGCCCACTAAAAAGGGGGCGGGGCAGAGGAGGTGTGTTTTGTCATCACCAATGACAAACACGCCTCCTCTCAAAGTGAGCATGTTGGTTCAATGCTCTTCCAGGGCAGACCAGGGCGCTTTGCTGAAGAGCTCTAGCATGAGAAAAAGTCCTGTATTTGTTCTGCACAGTGCAAGCAAATTTAATAACATGCTTGCACTGTGTTTCCTTGCAACTTGTCTCTGGTGTCTCTATAAATGGATACCAGGAGACAAAAGGCCAGGAAAGAGTATTGTGCATGTGTTTGGAGCCTGCTTGTGGTATTGCGTGTGTGTAGAGTGAGCTGGTCGTGGTGTGGTATTGTGTAATAAGGTCGGTTTTAGTCGTGTTGTGTTTGTGGTGTAATGTGATGCATATGTGGCTCAGGAACCCCCTCCCGCACGGCTCTGGAAAGGGGTTAAAACTTACCTTTTTCCAGCGCCGGGCGGGGAGCTCTCCTCCTCCGATCCGCCCCGTCGGCTGAATGCGCACGCGCGGCAAGAGCTGCGCGCGCATTCAGCCGGTCGCATAGGAAAGCATTTATAATGCTTTCCTATGGACGCTTGCGTGCTCTCACTGTGATTTTCACAGTGAAAAGCACGCAAGCGCCTCTAGCGGCTGTCAATGAGACAGCTGCTAGAGGCTTTGGGGGAAGGCTTAACCCATTGATAAACATAGCAGTTTCTCTGAAACTGCTATGTTTATAAAACAATGGGTTAACCCTAGAAGGACCTGGCACCAAGACCACTTCATTAAGCTGAAGTGGTCTGGGTGGCTAGAGTGGTCCTTTAAGAGTGTAGTGTGTATGTATATGTGCGTGTGTATATATATATATATATATATATATATATATATATATTTGGAAGTATTGTGTATGTGTGTGGTGCAGTGTGTTGGGGGGGTTCTGTGTGTATGTGAGGGGTGCAGTATGTGTGTGTGTGAGGGTGCGGTGTATGTGTGTGTGTGAGTGATGTGTGTGAGAGTGCCGTGTGTGAGTGATGGGTGTGAGAGTGCCGTGTGTGAGTGATGGGTGTGAGAGAGTGCTCTGTGAGAGTGCTGTGAGAGAGTGCTGTGTGTGTGTGAAAGTGCTGTGTGTGATGGGTGTGAGAGTGCTGTGTGTGTGTGTGTGAGTGCTCTGTGAGAGTGCGCTGTGTGTGATGGTGTGAGAGTGCTGGGTGTGATGGGTGGTAAGAGGTGCTGGGGTGTGAGAGTGCTGTGTGAGAGTGCTGTGTGAGAGAGTGCTGTGTGTGATGGGTGGGAGAGTGCTGTGTGAGAGAGTGCTGTGTGTGTGATGGGTGTGAGTGCTGTGTGAGAGTGCTGTGTGTAATGTGTGTGAGGTGCTGTGTGTGATGGGTGAGAGTGCTGTGTGTGAGAGTGCTGTGTGTAATGTGTGTGAGAGTGCTGTGTGTGATGGGTGAGAGTGCTGGGTG